GAACCTGTATATGAATGATATGATCTCTGTTTATAAATTCCAGTTGCATAAGGTCTTTTTAATTTTTTCACAAGCTTTCGTCTGTTCCTACAGACATCATCAGGTATGGAAATAGATTTTGTTCTTGTTTTTACTTCTCAGAAATAAGAGGACAACGAAAATAGAGATGTAACAATAACACATTTCTCATAGCATTTTTTCGGATTACATCTCTACATTTAATTCATTAACCTCTATATTTGTTTTTTGTATGAATGATTCATGAATTTATATATATATATATATATATATATATATATATATATATAAGTGTGTATAACATACGGAAAAGATTTCAAAATTCATTCTCTCAGAGGAAAAGAATATAAATATGGGCAGTTCGACGTGGTGTAATGGTTAACAAGCCTGTCTCGATAAGTCATTTACGACTGAGTAGTGATTAGTGAGTTCGATCCTCACTGGGTGTTTCATACTTTCAGTCTTGTACCACATCTAAACTACGCCTAGTAGGAATATAAATATATGCTCTTTAGAGATTTTTGGTCCGACATTCGTTTACTTTTTTTTTATCGAAGCGAAAGTAACCGAAAGTCTTTTAGAATTCGTTCTCTGTCTGTAATCGTTGAATCAGATATTGACTCAATGGCACGGGTTTGAAATCTTTTGCATTCCATTTTCTCTTACTTCGAACTTTTACTTTGGGGGCCTGCTGTTGAGACAGTGTAAAGAATCTCGTCTCGCAGATTTGTAAAGAGAGCCGACTAAGATTATGAGTTTCTCAACTTAATTTCTGTTGCTGTGTTTTGTGCACCCTCCATCCTAAAATAAAATAAAATAAAAACAGAAAAAATGTTATTTATTATGCGATTCTAATCCCATAGAGAGACAGAAGAATGTTCTGGATATTTGAACGACGGGGTCGTATTATTTGCAGAATTGCCCCAGAATCAATGCAGAAAAGAGATCGATCAACTTAGAAATTGTCGCGGTGATATGAATTACAAATAGCAAGTTAAAAATGTATTAAGAAAAAAAATATGATAGACTTTTAGAGGTAGTCTCGTTTGGACCCGAACCAGCGCATTATACAAGAGGGATATTCAGTAGATCTTTCTTTATTTCTATCTTTCTGTCTCAATAAATTCAAATCTATCTATCAATCTCAGTATGATCTTTCCATCTCTGTTTTTTCATATGTCTCTATATATATGTCCCAGTTTATTCACATATGCTACAGTTTGTCCATGTATATTACAATTTGTTCACATCTATTTCTATCTATCTATCTATCTATCTATCTATCTATCTATCTATCTATCTATCTATCTATGTCTGTTCAAATCTTTTTATTTATCTATTTTGCCCATATCTAAATTTGTCTATTCATTACCTATCTGTATCCGTTCAAATCTATTTAGCAAGCGATCTAGCTATTTCACTGTTCATATCTATCTATCTATCTATCTATCTATCTATCTATCTGTTCATATATATGTATCTACCTATCTACTTCATTCTGTTCATATCTATCTATCTATCTATCTATCTATCTATCTATCTATCTATCTATCTCCCTCTCTCTCTCTATCTATCTATCTATCTATCTATCTATCTATCTATCTATTTTGTCCATATCTAAATTTGTCTATTCATTATCTATTTGTATCTGTTCATATCTATGTATCTAGCTATTTCACTGTTCATATCTATTTTTCATTATCTATCTATCTATCTATCTATCTATCTATCTAGCACTGCTTTTATTAATATTTTTCTTTCTGCATTTATTTTTTCTATCTTTGGTATATTTATCTATCTTTGCTATATTTTCAATTCTTTCTTTCTTTCTACAATAATATATTCAAATTTCACTAAAGATTAATTCTCCTATTCGTTTCTAGTTTAACATATTTCGCCGATAGCCTGGGGTATCAGGGGGAAAAATTATTTAAAAATCTACATTAACTATTCACGTCAAGCGCCTACAAGTCTTAATTTGAACTCGGACTGAATCGTTACAGAAATTAGATTTTTTCTTTTAACCTCGTCGAAACAGACCAAGATTCAAAAGACAGAATATTTAATCTATAAAAGGGAGTTAAATTAAACAAAACACTCAATGAATTCGTGTGCCACTGTGTTGAGGGGTCCTCCCCTTTTTACACAAATGGACTCACACAGCATATATATATATACTACTGCTACGTGAAGACCCGACAGAGTAAGACAAGACGAGAGAACAGGAGGAGGAGGAGGAGGAGGAGGAAGAGGAGTGAAAGATTGTAGGTAACCGGAAAAGTGAGAGTAAGGTAACAGACAGACAGACAGAAAGAACGTAGCCAGCAAGAGTCACAGTGAGCGAGCACGTAGACTCAGTAAGAAGTCATTCAGCGATACTTCAATACCAAAGACTGTATATATATTTTGCTACTAACCCGTCTTCCTGGAACTACTAACCTGCTTTACCAGTTAATATTGTTACGTTAATACATTATTTTCCTATATTCATTCTTGGCGTTTGTTATTTATTGGTAGCGGATTTCAACGCGGAATCCACAACACACTGAAACCTTCGTGGCCGCCATTTTGATCTGGAGAATGCTGTTTTGATAAAAAAGAGAATAATTTTTACTAAGCTGAAGATGCAGTAAAAGCCTCATGATCTCTGAGTCTTTTCCGATTAATAATTTTTGTCCATGTATATCACAATTAGTTCACATCTATCTATCTATCTATCTATCTATCTATCTATCTATGTCTGTTCATATCTTTTTATCTATCTATTTTGCCCATATCTAAATTTGTCTATTCATTACCCATCTGTATCCGTTCAAATCTATTTAGCTAGCTCTCTAGCTATTTCACTGTTTATATCTATCTATCTATCTATCTATCTATCTATCTATCTATCTCTGAGTCTTTTCCAATTAATAATTTTCTTTGTTTTATCCGCATTTCTTTACTATATTAATACTGAAACAAGGTGAGATGCGTAAACAATGAAAGAAAGAAAGAAAACAAAACAAAATAAAATAAAAGCAAATAAATAAATTTAAAAAATGAAAATTGAGACTATAAAACCAAATTTTATATAAATACAGTTAAAGTATAAGATCATGCATTTCAGGCATTTTGCTAATAGAGATTTTATTATGAAGTAAAATTATTTTTCTGATGACGCCATCATATATATAAAATTCAAAATCTGAATCTGAATTTATCTACAGTGTAACCCGGATATAAGAGAGTTGTCGGGACCGGAGAAGAAGTCTCTTATATCCAGGTTTCTCTTATATCCGGGTTTGGTCTATTTTGTTTAGGTAAGTATGGGCTCTTATTTGGGACCAGGGAAAATCTCTCTTATATCCGGGTTTCTCTTATGTCCGGGTCTCTTATATCCGGGTTACACTGTACTTGTCTCTTTCTATCTGTCTATGTCGCTCTCTCACTGTCTCTGTCTGTCTGTCTCTGTTTCTCTCTATATATCTCTGTCTCTGTCTCTCTCTCTCTCTATATATATATATTTTAAGACATTTTTATGTTTATACGTTCTTTTTATAGATACAAATATTTAAGTAAATTCTCTTTTTATAATAAACAGTATTAACAACATTTACCGGCCTGAATGCCTGAGAAATTTTCATAGAAAATTTGCGTCCTCCGATAGGAATCGAACGTGTATCCTATATTTGTATCTATAAAAGGAACGTATAAACAAAAAATTTCTTAAAAAAAATAATTGTCGGACTTTGTCAATTTCATAATGTATGACGTCATTTGTCTACATTTGGATTCGCATTGAGCAGATATGAATGAATGAGAGAAAATCATGGAGAACTGTTAGAAATATTAGTTTTATGGTATGCTTTATGGATTAAAGTGGTTAATATCAGGAATAGAGCGTATGTAAATATAAAGGTGGACATTGAGGTTGTCAACAATTTAAACGCACTCTTCATAAAATGGACTGAAGATTGCGTTTAATGGTGGAAGTGATTGTCACCGCTGGGTGTTGACACCAATATTCACTATGAACACGACCACATTGTGCTGACTGCGTTTGAAAAATAAAACATTCCTATAAAACTAGATACGTAAAAAAAGCAACAAAATAAATAAATAAAAATTCATCCAGTTAAATAGTAAAAATGAAAAGAATTCTTGATAATGGCTAAAAGTATAGCCGAAAGCGCTCGGAAACATTCAGGCAATTTGTACATAATTTATGTCCAGAAAAGAAGAAAACTATAAGAACTCACGAAAAATTACATAAAACTTAACCGTAGTACCTTTTCACTCCACTCTTTTTAAAGTAAACTTGTATAAAGGAGGGATTGCTGCCCAAATGCAGAATTATATATATATATATATATATATAAATTTAATTAGAAAACAGATAAACATAAGCTTCCTCAGACCACATTTCCATTTGCTTGGAAATGTGATCTGAGAAACCAGGAAGAAACCACCTTCCAGGGGAAATAAAATATAATCTATGAACCCTTAAGGTTGTCTGTTTTCTAATTAAATTAATATTTGCTCTGGTTTGACATTGAGCTCTCTGGATTACATCCCCTTGGTAGTATCCATAGAGATTTCCAAACTTTTCATTACCTAACTATATATATATATATATATATATATATATATATATATATATATATATATATATATATAGAAATAATACAAATATAAAATGTTTCGTAGCTGATTTCTTTTAGCATCCCAAACTCCAGAGTTTCGTAGACGGACCCTCAGTAATCGTTCCGTCTACTCGTCAGACACACACACACACACACACACACACACATATATATATATATATATATATATATATATATATATATATATATATATATTGATATAATAGAAAAGAACCTTTAGATTGATGATCCAAGTTCTTTCGCATTTTTTTTTTTTTTAAAAATAATATTCGTTGCACAAGTAGAGCCTAGATTATAAACTGTGTGGCAGTTTCATCCTCAAGCATTATTTTTGGAATATATATATATATATATATATATATATATATATATATATATATATATATCATAATATTTTTTGTTTAAAAATATGATTCCTTCGCTACATAAGAGTTCTCATGTTTCAAAAACGAGAGCAAACCATCCAAATAATTATTAAAATTAAGTTGAATTGAGGTGTTTAGTCCCGTTTCATCTATTTGGATGGTTTCGGCTCTCGTTTTTGAAACATGAGAACTCTTATGTAGCAAAGGAATCATATTTTTAAACAAAAAAATATTATAATATAAGCTTACTTCTGTATGGAGAGCAGTCTTCTTAAAAATAAAAACAAAAATACTAAGGAACTCCGAATTATGTACCCAACGTGTTCTTTCCTATTTTCTGCATACCTGCGCACTTATACTTATATATATATATATATATATATATATGTCTGTGTGTGTGTGTGTGTGTGTGTGTGTGCTCCATATTAATCTTAATATCATGACTCAGGTTGGCTAATAGGATTGCCTCTTTTCGAGATGATGTTGACGGTTTTATTCATTTTATCTGCTTTTTAAATACTGTATTTATTAATATGCACTCGCCGAATTATCTCACCAATTCTATCTGGCGGCTCCTTGAAAATATTTACCGGCACTCATCTTAATCTAATCAGACGCAAGACAAGTGCGTTGAATCGGTTGTTTTACAGATTTAGGCACGTGTACCTGACATGCGAGTTATCTTGTTTTAGTTTTTTTTCGTTTTGTTTTTCTTTTTTTTCTTTTTTTCATTGGAATGATTACGACAGCCACCCGAGTTGAACTTGCTGCTATATAACAGCCTGACTGTCGTCAGAAACATGGGAGAATAAAAGTTAACAAGTAAACGACGTCGACAGTTATCGTAAATAACGCACATAGTCTATTTGATGCAATACAAAGTCCGCTCCAACCTCACTGAAAACCGTTTAAACATGCAAAGTCAACCTATCAGTTGATCTAATTTTACCTCGAGGCCGTATACTAATTGTACTTGTACCGAACCGAACTTCATATTATTTAGGATTTGGCAACAAAGATTTTGGAGAGGCTTCTATGCCTATGGCAGCCTCTCGAATGTTCGACAAGACCCGTACGGAAGCGGTATACTTCCCTGCATCGATTGCAAGAAAATACCTGAAAAAAAAATTACCGTATTTGCCGGATGACGCATATTTAACAAAAAATGCACAAGAAAATTACCCTACGTACAATACTTTTTGTGTGCCGTGTCCTTTCAGAACGTTGAGGATCATGGCTCTCCACTTCTTCCTATCCCTTGTAGCTCTCAATAAGTTTCGTCCCTCTGCCACCTCCCCCAGACCATGTTCTGTCATCCACTTGCTCAAGTCCGCTAGGTATGTCACGCGTTGTTTTCCCTTGTTTCTTTTTCCGTCTATTCAACCTGTGAGTATCAGATTTTCCAAGCCCTCCTTTCTCATTTACGTGTCTCAGAAATTTCATCTGCCTCTTCCTGATGTTAAGTATAAGCCTCCTCCTTGTTTGCAACCTCTCCAAGACCTCATCATTGATCACATGTTCGGTCCATAATATCCTTAGCATCCTTCTGTAGAACAACATCTCCGTCGCCTCGAGTCTCTTCTTCATCTTTGAGAAGACCGTCCAACATTCGCTGCCATAAAGGAGGACAGATGTCACGTAACAGCTCAGTAATGTATTTTTTCTTAATATGAATATATGTATATATATATATATATATATATATATATATATATATATATATATATATATATATATATATTGTCAGTTTAAAATAAAATTTGCCGATTGGCTGCTAAAATTTAGTCTCATGGTTTTATTTCGTGGGTAAATAATCTGGCCAAAGAGTTATTTTTAAGCCCCGGATGCTTGACTGGAAGAAGCCACAACTTGAGAACGAACCTTTGGAGTCACATCTAGATACTTGGGAACATCCTTAATCGGAGACTAGTTGAGTGGACTGGGTTAACTGACATGAAGGTATTTTTACCCCACCCCCCTGCAATTTGATTTTGTCAGAACCTGTCTCTATATTGCACACATTTGGCTGTGATGCATGTGCCTGGTATACCCTTATCAGACTGGAATGACATCATGGGTATATTGGGATTCGCACATCTGTACTCCAACTTTACTTTGTTGGTGTGCCTCTCTCTCTCTCTCTCTCACTCACTCAATAATAATAATAATAATAATCAGATGTAGACAAGCACCGTACCCATCAGTGGCTACGTAGTGCAGAGTTAAAAGCTGAAATCGAAGGTTTTATCCTTGCTGCACCGGACCAATGCTTGCTAACTAGGAATTATCAAGCACACATACTAAAATATTGTGTTAACCCAAAATGCAGATTCTGTGATAAATATCCAGAAACAATTGATCATCTTGCATCAGGTTGCACGATATTGGCACTCACTGAATATAAAACCCGGCATGACAGAGTGGGCCAATATCTGCACTGGAAAATTTGCAACTTCTACGGAAAGGAAACTGAAAGAAATTGGAATGAACACCATCGGTTACGGAGATAGGACCTGTTACAATTCTATGGGACTACACAATACACACTGACAGAACAATCAAAGCCAACCGCCCAGATATTGTTATTAAAGACCACAAACAAAAAAAGTGCGTCCTTATTGATATGGCAGTCCCTGCAGCCTGCAATATATTTTTGAAAAGCTTCAAAAAGCTATCAAATTACAAGAACCTTGAAATCGAAATCACAAAAATGTGGCACAAGGGAACATCAACAATTCCTGTTGTAGATAGAGCCCTCGGGTTTATTGGAAAAGATTCCAGTAGACTTATTGTAGGGATTCCTGGAAGCCCATGCTTTAAAAAAATACAAAACATTGTTCTCACGAGTACAGCCCACACCTTATAAAAGGCTTTATCTATGTAAAATATGTGTGTTGTTCTTTTTTTTTAATTGCTCAGTGGAAAATGTCATGATGCTATTTCGGGACCCGGAAAGAAATGTATACGCACAAGAAATCAAAGGAAATAAAACAACAACAACAACAACAATAATAATAATAATAATAATAATAATAATAATAAAGCTCTTGAACAGATGAACCAACACAAACAAGACAAACCTCTGCATGGCCAATATCCAGAACGAGGCTAATAAAGCCGCTGTTGATAAAATTAACACTCATTGATGGTTACGAGAGCATCTGGATTAAAGGCTGAAACGGAAGACTTTATTCTTGCAGCTCAAGACCAGAATCTTTTTCACTAGGAACTTTCAGGAAAATATCATACATAATAGTGTGGAACCAAAATGCAGGTTCTGTGACAAATATTAGGAAACCATAGACAATCTAATCTCAGGATGTTCTCTACTTAACCCAAATGAATATAAAAATCGTCACGATAGAGGGAGCGGGGTAATATTTACACTGGGCAATGTGCAAATACTTTGTAAAAGATGTTAATAAAAACTAGTATAAACATCACCCAGCACTGGTTACAGAAAAAGAAGACATCACAATTCTATGGGATTACACCATCTTTACAGACAGGAAGATTGAAGCAAATAAGCCGGACATAATTGTCAAAAACCGAAAAGAAAAAACTTTGCGACTAATTGATATGTCATGATCAGCAGACTGTAAAATAGAAACCAAGGAATTTGAAAAGCTATCCAAGTATAAAGACCTAGAAATCGAAATAGAAAAAAATGTGGAAATTCAAAACAAGAATAGTAGCATTGATAGTAGGTGCGCTTGGAATGATAAAAAAGGAACACATTGAAAAAATCATTGGAAATCCCAGCATAAGAGAAATACAAAAAATGGTCTTGATAAGTACAGCCTACAAACTAAGAAGAACTTTGTCCATGTAACGCTAGTGATGTTATGGGAATCAGAAAAAACAAATCATGTTGCCATAACAACACGCCACTACCTGCCTTGGGTCTCTCTGCAGACTTGGTAGGTAGTGTGACTATAGCAGAATTCGAAATATGATGATGATGATGATGATGATGATGATGATGACGACGATGGTGGTGTTAATAATAATAATAATAGTCATGATCTTTAGAAGTGTGCATGAAATAAGCTTTGGAATAAAAAATACATTTGTTGTTATATATATATATTTTTTTTTACAGTGAGGTTCACCTTGTACAAGGCCCGGGGGCAACTCGAGGTAGAGGGTTACAGAGCAAAAGGTAGTTTATGCGTATAGAAGGTGGACATGATAACGGTGAAGATAACAGTTAACCCTTGACTTGAATATATTAATATTGTAATGATCGGGAAAACATCCCCTTGGGAGTCAGTTCTACTGGGCAGTGGTTCGCGGGAAGAAAAGCTATTCGAGTGAAACTCACTTCTCACGAATGGAATACGACCACCTCTCGGACCAACTCTCTTTTTTTTACTTTACCTAAATGATTTGCTTACAGTACACTCAGATCATTTGTGAATTATGTATGCCAATGATACAACGATAGACGGGTTGCATCTCTAAAAAAAAAATCTGGCTGGTTACATTCAATGCCTCGAAAACTAAACGAGTTACATTTAATCACCGCCGATCGGACCCCGAACTACGACCATTCACGATGAATGGAGGTCCCCTCGAGGAGGCTCCGTGTCTTGAGAGACTGTTGGGCCTAAACTCACCCTTGACCTCACGAGGAACTCGTATCTACATATCTTCTAATATATGATATATCTAGTTCATCCATGCCGTTAAATATGACGTCATATATATATATATATATATATATATATATATATACCTCTTTAAATAATCCGTCACATTCAGAACATGCCACCTAAATAGGATTTGTCAAATAGGTTTCTGGTTTTCATATACTCTTTGACTAATTCATTTTCTTTGTGTGACTAAAGGATATGGCTTTGGGAGCTGTTGCCAGGTTATTTGGAGTTATTTAAGCCGTATTATATTTTCTGAAAGTTTCCTGTGCATGTAATTAATAGAATTTTTCACATTTTACCACGAGTTAGCATACTTCCTATTATTAACATATATCAGCCACGCTTTTCGATCTGAATGAATAATTTGCAATGCATCATGGATCTATGTCGATCTATCATAATCGGAGTGGTACGTTTTTAATTAGTATAATTTTTCTTGTTATATATATTTTCGTGACACTTGTCGAGTTTTATTTTCTTTCTTTTCTTAGATATTACCTACTTCAACAATCGTTGGGTAATGGTTTCTTCAGTTCGCATTAAACAATCTGATATTTCCACAGCAAGTTATATGGCAGTTTTACGAACCTGAGTTAGTGTTACCAGATGTGTCCCTCGAAAACACCTTGACTACAACTACCAACTTCTACTTTGGGTGTTGAGAAGTTACAAAGTCGTATTAAGAGAATTAGAATTCGAAACTTACGGGCGTTTGGTTGAATATTTTAATTTTTAGAAAAAATAACTAGACTATTTTTGGACTCCGGTCTCATCTATGCGTGGGACTTCCCATGTTCCATTTGCCTTCGATATTTTTCGTGAGTTTCAAATTCTCCATGCCACCTTTCCTCATTATGCCCCCCTCCAATTAATCTGTCTCTTTCTGATTCTGAGTATAAATGTTTTTTTCGTTTTTCTTGAAACTTCTTTGTTGCTTACGCGATCTTTATTCTCAGCATCCTTCTGTAGAACCATATTTTCTGTTGCCTCCCAGTTCTCTTCATCTGTGATGTGATTGTCCAATATTCACTGCTATACAGGAATATTGATATTATATACGAATGGGGGTTCTGTTAAATACTTCACAGTTAACAGTTTTGGGGCTAGTTCTATTAAATACTTAACAGAACTAGCCCCCCAAAAAGCCATGACTACAATTTCCAAATACTTAAGTGCCGGAAGTTTTTATTAACTGAATTATTCTTTGAAAATACAATGATTTCACCAAGAGTGAAGAGTCTGGGGTAGTATTACCAGAATTAGCTCATGAAAACACCGTGACCACACTTTTTAAGTATTAATGATAATTGTCTGAGCAACTATGAATGCAACCAGTTCTATATATTTTTCTACGTTTGTGCATGTGGGTATTTACATAGGTAAGTAAATGGAGTGTGTGTGTTTGTGTCTGTGGATGTGTGTGGGTGTTTGTGCCTATGTATGTGTTTGCATGTTTGTATAGATGTGTATACGTTTGTGCGTGTGTAAGTGTTCACTTATTCACGTTTTTATGTTTGAAAAGCATTATAGCTTTGAAATCAGCCGTGAACAGCTATTGCCGTCGACCTTGAAGTAGTAATAAAGTTTCCCTTGTTTCTTTTTCTATTTTTTCTTCTTGTTTGATTTGGACGTGACGTTTCGATATATCCGCCCTTCATCAGAATTATGTTTCATCAATTGGAAGGTTGGAAAGCAATGCCTGTAAATAAAGTTAATGAACATAACCTCGCTTTTTTTCAATGACAAAATGGTGGGCACACCCCAAATAAATTTGCCACGCCTACAGATTTAGGAGCACGGAAATGAGAAATAAACCATGGTATAGAGTTACTTTGATTGCTTGCATTTTCTTTCTTTCTTTTTCTTTATTTCTTTCTTTCTTTCCTTCTTTTTCTTTCTTTATTTCTTTCCTTCTTTTTCTTTTTTTCTTTCTTTCTTTCTTTCTTTCTTTCTTTTTTGCTTTTCTTGCTCACTTGTTTCTTCTCTTTTTCTTTCGCGTACATTCTTCTGTTCCTCATTTCCTTTTTCCCAACAACCTCAAATTCTTTCTCACCGTTTTTTAACCTTTGTTTTTTTATTCGTCTTTTTTCCCTAATATTTTTCAAACTTTGTTTTTCCTTTCCTTTTTACGTATCATGTTTTCAATTTTTTTCTTTTTTTTTTTCTTTTTTCTCAACATTTTTCAGTATTTCTTTTCTTAATTCTTTTCTTTCTCAATTTTTTCAATCTTGCTTTTTATTCTTTCTTTTCTTTCTTCCTTTACTTTCTTTCTCAACTTTCTTCAATCGTTCTTTTCTTTCTTCCTTTGTTTTTGATCATTTTTCAATCTTTCTTTCTGAATATTTTTAAAACTTTTTCTTTCTCATTGTCTTTCAATATTTTTCACTTCCTTTTTTCATTCTTTTTCATCATTTTTCAATCTTTCTTTTTTTCTTTATCAATATTTTTAAAACTTCTTTCTTTCTTTGTTATTGTCTTACATTCTTTTTCACTTTCTTTTTCCTTCTTTTTCACCATTTTTGAATCTTTCTTTTCTTTCTTTCTCAATATTTTTAAAACAAATTTTCTTTCTTTCTCATTGTCTTTCAGTTTTTTCGTTTCCTTTTTCTTTCTTTCTCATCATTTTTCTATCTTTCTTTTCTTTCTTAATATTTAATTTTTTTCTTTCTTTCTCATTGTCCATCAATCTTTTTCACTTACTTTTTCTTTCTTTCTTCCTTTCTTTCTTTCTTTCTTTCTTTCTTTCTTTCTTTCTTTCTCAACGTTTTTCAACCTCTGTTTCTTCCACATTCTTTGTTTTTCTTTATAGCGCAGTGCAGCATTTGATAGAAGATACATTAGCAAAGCTATAACTCAGCAAGAAGAGTTCATTAATGTCGGCTGCCTTTCATCGTATTTTTTTTTCATCATATAATACGTCTTCCCCCAAAAGTTTGTTTCAACAATCACCCTGTGAATTAAATCATGAAGATTATGTTTTCGAATAGGCCAACCGGTCGAAATGGCAACTCTATTTACCATAACTCCTCCCAGACCACACGAAATAATACATATGTCGTACATTATATGTTGTTATTACTACAGTATTTTTCTTTTGTCGTTTTGGAAGACGAAAACAAATTGATATGATGGTGGCCGGTGATAGGCTTATCTAGGAACGAGGAAGCGGGATTTGTTTATGATTTCCTCTAACTTATATTGTAACTTATATTGTATATTGTAACTTATTTGATAACTGAAAGTTGATTTTTATCATTATTTAGAAATAAACTATCTATAATAAGCGATTGATATGGGCGTTAAGTTGTTAATCAACAGATCTGGTTTTAAAATATCTGATTCGTCCTTCTGTAATTGAGCATCACCCTCTCCGGTCGTCCAACACAGCGGCTGATCGATGAAGATCGCTTCGATCTCAGACTTGCCTTATCCCACGTTGTGATTTAAGATTGATCATAAGGAGGCCAAGATGGAATCGTCGCAGATATCTTCGTGTTGGCCTGGTCTAAGCAAGGCAAAGACGTTCAGGGAAAAAAATAACACTCGAATAAATTGAAGAAAAAGTAAATACTGTTTTTATATCAGTCCTTCGTACAATAATTGGTTTATATCTGAGTTCGAATGCAATTAATTATCAGCCCAACCCGCGCCTAAATCGGAAGTGATACTATCGTTGTTGGCCTGGCAAAATCTTGTTTGTTGTTGTTCGTAAAGTTTGGCACAAGGCTGAAGTCTGAGGCTTTCATCGGCGGATAATCACGTGGGCCTCTCTCCTGTCTCTGGTCTTGTCTCCGTCTCTTCTGCATCTCTTCTGCTTAATTCGCTTCACCCATTCGTATTTATAGACATTCGCCCAAACTAGCATGTGTTGTGGGGTATGGCGAGGTAGGAGCATTTCGGTGAATCCCCTCCGACTTACATCATAACTTTGGAGAACTCCCCCTCTCTCCCCCACCATCTGGAAACCCAATAGAATAAATCAATGCATAATAGTAAAATTTCGTCTCATAAAATTAAAAAGAAGGCCGAGGCGAGCAGCGGTCGAAATGTTATCATAAAAAAATACTATGATGTGGAAACTGAACCGAAGGAGAGACTTCGTACAATTAGATTCAGGTTTTAATTATTAGGTCAAGTCATACGTTATTGCTGTTTTGGGGGAACGAATTATATTGACAAATGTATGACCCCAACTATTAATCATACATGGCAGTTAAGAATAAATTTGGTGTGTAATAATGCAACACCGTCCTCGTTCGTCCATGACTTCCAACACCGCAAATGGTCGCTGAAGTGACCGGTTCAATCCAGAGCTAATCTTATCCCACGTTGTGATTTAAGGTTGATCATAAGGAGGCCAAGATCGTACAATAATTGGTTTATATCAGAGTTCGCATATAATTAATTATCAGCCGCATCTAAATCGGAAGTGATATTATCGTTGTTGGCCTGGCAAAACCTTGTTTGTTGTTGTTGTTGGAAAAGTTTGGCACAAGGCTTCCGTCGGAGGCTTCCGTCGGCAGATAATCACGTGGGCCTCTCTGCTGTCACTGGTCTCGTTTCCGTCTCTTCTGCCTCTCTTCTCTCTTCTGCGACTCGTCTGCCGAATTTGCTTCGCGCATTCGTATTTATGAACATTCGCCCAAACTGGGGAATTCCCTTCTTCCACTTTTTCATATTATTACCTCCCACTAAATATCCCCAGCGAGGGTGGGTGGCTTATCAACCCACTCCTGGTATTTCAACTCAATTTTAGACCAAGGGAATCACCTTAAATTGTTGTTTACGAAAAATGAAATTTTCGCTTTACAGCTTGCATTTGCAGCTGTGTGTCAATCAACAATGTCGCCTAAGTCTGGGTCATTTTTCCATTGTTCAGACTGTTCAGCATACAATTCAAGTCGTTTATGTGTGAATTAAATCCTCAATTCTTCTCACGGGTTTTTGGTATTATGCCTTCTCATTTCAATGTCTCTCAGTACAGACACTTTCTATTGATAAGAAAACTTTCTTAGGTTTTATTTTATCGCGGCAATAACAAATAGTATCACATTCCTCCCATACCTCTCCTGTCATTTAATAGTAAATGATTCTTAAATCTAAATCTACTAGTATACTATTTGTCATGCATACCAAGTCATTCAGTAGTAATAGAAAAAAATAATTTTCATGCAATGTTTCTACTGGTTCTGCTATATTTTTTTATTTACCAGGCAAAGGTTATATGCAAAGTTTTTATGTATCATGCAAAGTTTTTATGTATCATGCAAAGTTTTTAATGTATCATGCAAAGTTTTTATGTATCATGCAAAGTTTTTATGTATCATGCAAAGTTTTAATGTATCATGAAAAGTTTTTATGTATCATGCAAAATTTTTAATGTATCATGCAAAGTTTTTAATGTATCATGCAAAGTTTTTTTATGTATCATGCAACGTTTTTATGTATCATGCAAAGTTTTTAATGTATCATGCAAAGTTTATATGCAATTTTTTTTATTTATCATGCAACATTTATAAAAGTTTTTCTTCTTTCTTTTCATGCAAAGTTTTTATAAAAGTCTTTATCCTTTCTTTTCATGCAGAGTGTTTCTGTTTCTGTTGTGTGGGTGTATGTGTGTGTGTTTTATGGTTTGTTCTTCTTGGGTACCATTCTTCTCTCCGCAGTGTGATGCTTTGGCTTTTCTTCAACAGGTATCAGTTATATTTTAACAAGTACCAGCTCCATTTCTACCTCCGTCGAATTCACTCCGGTTTCTTCCCTGTCGATATTTGACCTGTTTGGGTAAAGATCACTGATCGGAATCCTTCTTTTTGGGGTCGTTGTATGCTCGCCAAATCATCATTAACCGATTTCTTTGTATAATTTCTAAGTTTCCATATCGCTTTTACTATTGCAGCAATGATTAACATGGTGTCAATCACAGCCGACCAATTTATCACTATCCTTCTATCTGTCCGAACCATACTCCCTCTTCCCAAATCATTTAAACTTCCCTTTAAACGATTCATATCAATCCTTTTTATCGCTTTTAATAACTCTGGCATCTTTTCTAATGTAACTTTAGGGAATTCGCTCATTACCGGCTCCCATAATTTCAATTGCGCAATTACCTAGTCTTTTGTCAACTACGGCTATAAAAAAATGAATCTTTTTCTTCGTATTTCTCTGGTAATATGGGGTTATGGAGAGGGGTATCCCAGATGCTGAACACCCCAAGGGTAGCTCCATCAAAGACAATGGTGATTTCACTCTCAGCATTCTAGTAGGTTCCCCCATACCCTAGAGCAGCTATTCTCAACCTTTCCTCCATCATTGACCCCCTCAGCTTTATCTATTTCTCCATTTACCCCCTACTTCCATACAAAAAATCCATAGCCATCATAAAGCATTGATGTACAATTTCGTGACTAAATGAATGAATGATTTTTTCATTCAAAATACTAAGGATATTTTTTTTTAGTCAAAATACTGTGCCTAAAAAAAATACTAAGCAACACTCAAAATACTGATTTCTTATTTAGTACTAATCTACTAATATTTTAGTATAAGTTAGTACTCTGTATAAAATTCAGTATTTTTATTAACGTTTGTAGCCATTAATAAAAAAAATATTTATTTTATCCGCTGTATTAGTAGATCTACAAATTAATACTAATCATAATCATTCATTCAAAAAAAAAATTTTTTTTTAGTATTTTTGTTTTTGGCAATTTAAAAATTTTTGGAAAATACTAAAAAAAAATTTTTTTTGAATGAATGATTATTAGTAGTACTGACTAATTTGTGACTAAGAATTGTGAAAATTAGTCATTAGTAAAAATACCAAAAGAGAAATAAAAAAAAATACTGACAAATACTAAAAATTAGTAAAGATTCAGTATTCTGATCAAAAAATTAGTAATCCATCATTCATTTGTACATCAATGTCATAAAGTGAGAGAAAAAAGACCAGAAAGAACCTTTTTATTGTTTAGGACTTTAGGTTTTGTATAAAAATAGTATTATACATTTGTATAAAAAAAAGAAGAAAATCAAACCTTTTCTAAATAGAAAATTATGAAGTTAATTTGTATTACAAAAACTAATGAACAGAAACATCAGAAGCATTATCAGTGGGAAAACTGCTGATTCATTGAGTCAATCAGTTTGTTTATGCAAGGAGCTGTTTCTGATAATGCTACTCTCATTTCATCATTGGCTTTCAGGCGGGTTTTTTAAATCATCAGGTACTTCAATTATTTACCCCCGACTATATAATTTTTTACCTCCTAGGGGTAAATTTACCCCTGGTTGAGAACATCTGCCCTAGACAGATCAATCGGGTTTTGTGCGGCCACCACCTAAACTCCATCAGCTGATACTGAAAGATTGTGGCAACAGTGTTTGTCAACACCTCTACTGGCATTTCTTCTTAATCCCTTCTCTATTGTCTTTAAACAGTTCAAGTATATATAGCCTGTGATTACCTCTCACATATTTAGGCCATAGCGAAGCACATGTTCCCAAGACATCATCCCTGTAATTCCTTGCTTCTACTGCTGTCAGCATCATAAATTTCGTCCTAGCTGAATTCAAAGCTACATACTCTGCCTCAATTTGATATTTCGTCATCGCCCCTAGGCCCTGCTCTGCTTGCGGGTAGGGAGTAGGTAAATTTATAATCTAATATATTTCAAAAATATTCCCCTGTCTAACAACGGAATTGACACCATGACTAGTAACTTCTTAACTTCTAGCAAGCTAACACAACCCAGTGCGTTGTAATATTTCCATCATTTCTTGATAGAATCCACCGGTAGCCTCAAATGAT